ATATATATATATATATATATATATATATATATATATCAAGTAGTGTACTCACTAATCCCACCGTATGAACTTCAAGTTGGACCGGTTTATAGCCGGTTTAAGGCCTTAGTCTGAGATAAAGGCCATAAGTGGGAGCAGTACTTCAACGTGTTAATTTAATGTGATTATATGATTGTTCCCCCGGAACAACCAGTTCATTTTGGAGTACAGTTTGGTCCTGTTAATGTATGCCCATGATATCTTGAACCGTTTTGTAATGAACGGGAAATGGTTGTGTTTATTGAGGACGAATTATTTTTTTGCCGGCTAAACAGATGGCGCGCCAGTTCCTCCGAGGACAGTGTTTAAAAGACTACAACGTGATTAGCACTCTTCTCATTCATATAATCCCATACCAAATTTAATCGGTGATGCTTCTCTGATGCTTAGTACCTTGATGAACCCAGCTCTGTTTCCACCTATTCGAATTTGGAGGCTGTAAGTGAGATGCGCCCACAAACTAGATTGCACATAGGGGCTACATTTGTAATTACATTCAGCTAGGAGTGTTTGTACTGGATAAATTTTAAGCTGATCGTCAGGTAAATTACGGGCCCAGGAAGTCCGTTTTTCGTCTAAAAAAGAAACCAGAAACATACGCGGTTATAACGACTGAATAACGAAACTGAGCGATCCCTAGTCTACGAGCGTAGGGTAATCGTTTTTTCGCCAGAAGTACATTGTCTGTTTGGCGATACGTCAAAATATGGTTAGCTTGGGTGCGTATACTGGTGCTTGATCTGATGGGGCGAGGAATTTAGCTTGCAAACAATTTGTCTACAACCGCACGCCATCAATGCGCTGTTGATTGGGCAGTTCCGCCCTAACTGATCGAGTCTATAGTTCACAAATGGTTTGTGACATCCGTCTATGTACTAATCCAATAATCCTTTCTCGTAATAATTTTATTCCCTTCTGCAATTTTTGTCTCATTGAGGGTGAATATTCTCAAATTTCAGTTGCTGGCGAACATACTGAAGCTCAACACTGATGTGCCTAATCTGGCCGTTAGCGAGGCATATGTGCAAGAGGCCAAGCCAAGTGGATCGGGTGCAAACCTTGCCAGGTAGGCTTTTATTACGGAAAAGGTTATGGTCGTGTATCTTCTTGAATTTATTTCTACCCCCTGAACAAATTTGCGCACAAAACCAACACACTTAAGTGTGTGTAAACATAAAACTATGATGAATCTGACTCGGCGATTATCGTCTCTTTCGGGCAGTCGCTTACATTGCTTACGTTCATTCGTCGGTCTGGTATTTACCCCTCCTAACAGTTAACACACCCAGCTTTGTCAGAATCTGTACTTGACCTTCTGACCACTGAGGACCGTCGGGGGTCGTTCGCGGCGTTAAGTGGTGCTGTAGGATCATTCTGACGTTCGTTTGCAATAATCGTGCTAATCTTGGTATAGCAATTAAACCTACCATAGTTTCACAAATGCCTTTTCATAAATTTTGAAATATGCGAAAACCGTAAGCAGTCGAGCTAGAAAACTGTTTCTACTTAATGCTGAGGAAAGTTTCAGATGCTGCTGTGATCACTTCTTTTGACTGAGTCCAGCTTACTACTGGGTCCTGGTCCCTCACAGATAACCAGCTTAATGGCCTACTACAAAGTGCGCATTTCAGTCACTCAGCCAAGGTATATGAATCTTTACCCCAGATGCATTGATATCACAGTGGATACACCGTTGTTTTCGAGCATACATGGTTTAGTCTCTTCTGATTGGTCGCTTGAATTATGACTTGCGAAAATAGATAATGAAACAAATTCGACGAATTTTAAACGATCTTTGCATATATTAGTTTTGTTTGTTGGGTACCGTGTCCCGCAGGGTTTATACAATTCGTTCGTCAATAATATGCTGTAAGCTGGTAATACACCAACATAAGTGTCTGAGTTGATCTTCCTTTGGTTTGTTTTTCATTCCGTTCATGCGATGTACCCTCGAAAAGTCTACCGCTGCCTCAAAAATCAGGCGAAAACAAAAACAACGTAGGATCTGTTACTCGGAAACAGGATCCAACCCATCCAACGGGGTCAATCAGTAATTTAGCGTGAGTAACAATGCTGAAATTGTTCATTCGGTTCTTAAAAACACGCGTGTTTATGCTTTTTGGGTTGCCGGAATTTGAGTTGGTTGCTATTCCACTCACTTCACCCAAATCCTTGCATATTTTAGCGTCAATCTCGATCCAAGGTCACCACATGTGTCACCTAAAGCAGCACATAAAGCTGCGCGGAATCGTCCAATTCCAAAGGTGTCCTGCTTGAGAACACAACCGGATAAATCTAAGTCAGTTTCGCCCACCATTCAGCGTCCAACCTCGACAGCACTTAATCGAAAGCGTGAGCAAGCGCGTTTGATCGGAAAGACCGCACTCAGCAACCGTCGCTGTGATGAAACCATAACATTTGTCGGGGAGGTGAGTTGATGCGTTGCTGGCTGAAATCAAATTTGAAGCACATCAATGCAGAACTTTATTGAAACAACGAGGTTTATCTTGGTAACTGTGTAGAGAAGTAAAATGGCACATGAATTAATCCGCAATCAGCATTAAGTGAGTCATAAAACTATTCAAAACCGCTTACTAATAAATTTGATAACCATAGTCAACATTTGCGAGGACTAGAGCGTTCTGGACGCTGTATGCAGCGGTTGCGCTTCGTTCTCCGCGCAATGGGGCATTTTTCGTGACAAGGATGTTTCCGCTGCGAGAACTTCTGAATCCCCAACCCATATCAAAGACACTTTCCGATGCTCAGTTAGCTTATGTACAAGAAAACTCTATATACTGCATCAAAACGTCACCTAGCATACAATAATCGGTCGACCAACCATAGAAACGTTTGTACCCACTAACAGGGTTGCCGCAGTGTCCTAGTGCACCGACCCTAGCCAACAATGCCAGATGCAATTTGATCGGAATTTCCCTGCTTTTCCATTTTTGAACAAACTGTTTGGTTGAAACGTAGATTCAAAGTAATGAATGGGAAAACTCAGGTAAAGCAACGCAGCCTGTGTTACATGTCCATAAGCGACAGGATACTTTGTGACATGGACTGCATTCAACTAAGTAGCATATTTACAGAATAAGTCCAATAATATAATGTATGCCCAATTACATCAGCGTTTCTGAACTCAAAGTGTCCTTCCACAGGAACAAACGGGTGTCCGAATTTTGGCGATTAGACTTTTGACTTACCAAGTGTCGGTCCGACGAATCTGATAGTTAAGGCGTTTGACACCCCCTTTCTCTTTCTGCTTGTTCTAAACTTTTGGTCTTAGCCTCCTGGCCGATATGGGGTAGGGACGCCTACGCTGCCACTACAAAACACCCTCAAACCTGTTTGGCTTAGTCAGTGAGATTCTGCTTGTGTAGGCAGGGCAGCATCCCACCAAAATAACCGGATGCACTTTGTATTTATTTACCCGTATCGCCAGTTATTTTCACGTCACAGCAGCCCCAGGGCTGTACATGCATATGCATGGGGCCCAAATTCTTCAAAAGAGCCAACACGGCAAGCCAAAAGGCTTAAAAAGTGGTAACGGTTCTTCGTTCATCGTGACGTCCACACCCGCAGAATTTCATAACAGATACCAAAAGCACTAGATAGTGCATCAGTGAGACTAGGCGAGTGAAAAGCTGGCACGATTAAAAATCACATGATGCCACTTATTCAGGTTTGTCCTACGACTAAGTGAAAGTGCGCATCCCAAAATGCTACTTATTCGGTTTGTCCTATGGCTACTTCAATCTCGGAGCATTGCGAACATGTTCCCCCGACGATAGCCTATGCGTCACCCCTTGGCACCTCAATGTTTCACCGTTCATTCTATCCAGTGAACCCGGGTTTGTACGGTGTAATAACCGGTTTGTTTAAGCCATCCCCGAGGCATTCCAGGATGTGTTTTCGCACTTCGTTGGTGAAAGTTCGATTTCGACAGCCTCCGCGAATTTAGTAAACACGCCATAAATTTGAGCTTTTCACAGGTGCGACTAAGACTGGTGGAGAGATCCCTCCCACAAGGAAACCAATTCCAATTTGTCAGCTTCCAGCTTTCAATCCTTCGTGCACGCAAAACACTCTGCCCCATCAATGGAACCAGGGAATTTTATCACAAAGCATAGTTTTGGCGGTGTGAATTTTTGGCACCATATTGCTCGTCTTTGAACCAAACAAAAAACTCTATCTTCCAGGAGCAGGAGGCACATGGAAACAAAAAAACAGTATACAAGAATTTGAAAGCTCCATCTGTGGACATAACCTCATTTTGATCGATAGACGAATGAAGTACTACTCATCCAAAACATGTCAAGCCACGATGCACACGATTTTTCCAACGACAGTATGAGGATTTTGGGGATGGCTGCTCGAAACAGTTGTCTCGCCACAGCCAGAGAGAGCAATGTTTTGTATCTTGACAAAATAGTGTGGGGTGATCAAAAGACTGCGATGAATTGTACGTTCACTTAAGGTAGTACTACATCTTGAAACCAGCAGGAAATGCCTATCAGTTGTTCGCCCAACTCAAAGAAGAGGACAAGCGGTCATGAATATCTCATTATTCATCTATTACTATGTGTGAGTCACATGTTCAGCCTATCAACAGCTCGAAAACTAGGTTTCAGTACCTTCATTATGATACAAACAGGCGCTGAACCATTACCTTGAGTGGACGCAGTTTAGGTACTTTAAGATGGTGTTCATTGTAAAAGAAACAACTACTGTGCATAGCGTTGAGGCTGTACAATAAACACTAGTTCTTACTGTCTGGGTCACCACAAACGAAGGAAAACAAGGCACCAGCATTACTGAAGAAAGGCATTTGCACGGATATTAGCTAACACCACAAATTCACTTTTGAGAACTTGGTAAGCATTGAGATTTTGCCCATTTTTTTACGTTTGTTCGTCAGATCAGTGAATTTAACTCTATTTACCACTAACAGATTGAATTAGCTCAAAATATTGTGGCAGCGTTAAGCAGTAATCTCAGTTACTTCGACCTAAACGAAGGCCAGCCAAAAGGAGAATTTTCTTTGTCGTTTCATGCTTCGGCTTGTTCGAATCCTATAGGCCTAGTACTTCCAAACACCCATACGATGCGCAATTCCTTAGGAGGAGTTGCTTCTTATCAGGCACTGACCACACAACCTCGTGATACCAGTCTCTACTTAGCTGGTGAGGATCGATCAACCGACCAATCCTGAAGTTAATTCAATGAAATGATCCAGCCAATGAGAGTGGAGCTTCGAGATTCGTGCTTGAAACGATCGAATACTAAGAGTTTGATAAATTTTCTGTAATGTGCTGTAATGTAATGCAGAGTACGCCCTGAGAAGAAGTAGTACCTACCCTTAAAATATTCTCGTATTTGAATGTTGTATTTTTACAGCCGAAAAGACATCTATTTTCGCCTTCATACAGTAACATAATGGTTGACACCCATATCGAAGGTTTTTATCATGTCTAGAAAACTGTGAGTGGAATTTTTGTTTGTTATAACCCTAGTTACAGCAGTTGACTACAACTTCACGTTCAATTTTTCATATCCAAAACCGAAGTTAAACCCTTCTTATCACCACGAAAAAATACCTTCAAACGTTTTATGATTTGTTCGTGAATTGTGTCCGAAGTACTTTCATTCCGTTGATTTGCTTTTGTTCTTTCATTCCCCGCAATCACACAGATTCTTTCCGATTCTGGCCCTGGTGCCTCGCTAGCTCAGAAAAACCCAAACCCGAAGTCGTCTAAAGGCGTGAGTTTGGGAAGCATTCTCGTTCTCTGCACTGTTGCTTTTTGCTACCTTTGACGTTGTCGCGCGCAAATGCATCCATTATGGTTCTTAGAAACGTCAATAGTGATCAAAACATCTAGCGTTCCCTTGTGTTATCCCTGGACTTGCTCATGGCAGTCTGGATGACCTAATCACCACCCAGTTGTCATTGCTGTATTTTTCGAAAAATTGATCACATTGTGCACTTCTAACAGATATTGAAGGTCCATCAATACATCCTAATCTTCTATTGGTCGGAAATTAAGTTCTGTTCACCAATCGTCACCCTCTGAGCGAACATTGTTGAGCCGCCTAGACACGCCTTTTTACTCAGTATATGATATGTTACAAATGTTGAGGGATTTTATGATAAGGAATCCACCTTTACAACAAGTTGTTCCAAATTACTACTGGATTTGTGCTCGTGGTGTGCTCCGGTGTCCTATCCACTGTGATAGCAGGCATTTCGACCACTTCCAACAGTGAATTAAAACAAGTGTGACTCTGTTCCTTTAACACAAGAAGCTTCATGTACCAACTCACCGATGTGAATCCACAAAAAACAAGGTAGAAGGAACAATTTCAAAGTTCACAACATGCCTGACTGACGGTAGATAACTGTCGAATTGATTTCGAACAAGGAAGAAGTATAGCTGAAAGGCCGCCCGTTGGGTTACATCGCTCCTAAGGTGCACTTATGATACACATATGGCTAACTTTTGATAAGCGAGCTCATCTTGGTCTGCACCGCGCTGTTTCTGCAGAAAATCATATCTTGCACTGGTACACAAATGACACTTCAGAACATTGGAATTCTTAAGGCGAGTCATTTTATATATAAATACATATATATTAAATACATATGAAATGCAATAGAATAGATTGTAATACCTACAAAATAAAGATGGTATAGAGATGAAAAACAGAGAGGCAACCTGAGGATCCGGGGTTTGGCTTGGTGAACCACTCGAGGTTTTCCTATGTTTAAGTGGTGGTGTCCCTTTTGATGACAGTGGGAGCAGTATACCACGTCACTCGAAATTCAAATGCACGTTTGGTGTTGGTTCGTGAAACCTAACCGATCACCAACAATCACACATGCTTTCTTTGTTGGCGCTGGAAAAAACGAATCAGTATTCCAATGGTAAAGTTATTCGTGAAAATACGTGAAAGTTCAAAATGCTTCTTCCATTGATATCAAGGTCATAGCTCAACACATCAAACTGTTCTTATACAAGCCTGCTTCAATAACTGTGAACAGAACAACGCATTGGTTCTGTGGTCGGAAAATAGAAACATTCAGTGTCTTCCACGAGGTTTTAATGTCAATTTGTTGTAAAAGTGAATAACTAGGAAGAATGGCATGGGTTGCTCGGTGGATGAATACTAGATCTAGTTCAGCAGATTTAGTAACAAAATTTTGGGACATTCTGTTGAAACTCCTGCAGTCAACAAAAGCCAACCCGGATCACGGGATAGTCCGTCATTTGGGATGGTGGTAAACCATATATATAGTTTTCAGCATCTTAGAGAGCATCGTGTTCTTCGGGAAGAAAGACTATAGTTCCAGCGACCTTGCTGATAATGTTTACACATCTCCGTGTTTGACCTCATTTAAATGATCCACAACATGATAAACCCATGGCTGTGAAGTTTCACTCTCATAAACATTTAGTGTTTACAGTGATTCTCCTTGTTTTTCTGCGAACACCTAATCCTTTTGTGCGCTAAATAGAACCGATCAATGCTTCACCATCAGCTCTTCCATTGAAGCTCACCTTCAAAATTATTTCGTTAGCGCGTGTCCGGTGATCACTAATCAGACCAAACTGTTGAACGCCGCTGCATTTTTCCTCGTAAAGCAAACCTTAAAAATGTCTTTTACTCCCCAGTAAGAGGACTGCATGGAAAATTTTCTAAACTTCACGTGGTCCATGGCTTATTTTATGATGATATAACACAGGGTGATGAGTTAACACTGAACATATATAGCTTTTCTGCAAGTTCTTTAGCTCACCCAGGCAATCTAAGGAGTCTGTCGAAGTCTCCCGCCGGCATTTTCGTCGGTCTTGGAAAGCAACACTGGTCCATGTTTTTGTTAGTAAATACTGATAAATCAATCCAAGTAATCACTTTGTTTGAACAACGGTTTCCTCATTTTATTCTGATGGACTATGAAATCCGTTGTTGGTAATCATGTGACCATCATCTCATTAATCATGTATCAAAGGACAACGTTTTGTAACGTCACTGTATCCGGATATGAGTAGTATGAGACGACTGCTCAGAATCTGAATTTAGCCCACTACCTGTTTACGGCCCTTCAGTTAGGTATACTGCCATAGAAAAACTTTATTTGATTTGTCTGGGTGTTAATGTTTTGGCACATATGTGTGGTGAAACTGTTGGTCCTAGTGACTCGATGGATTCTCTCCTATTCAATAGCATGCCGATGTACTTTCGTGTATTCAGTGGCACACAGGCTGCGCGATGGTTCATTTGCAACATCATCGAATAAAGTTGCCCTTCGTTTTGATGCCAACAGTATGGGAGTCTGTCTACCAGAAACTCCATCAAGACTCCAGTTGTTGAAATCTCATCTTCACGGACCACCGTCTTGTAGATTTGAAGATGGGATGATTTTTAAAGTTTCGGGATAAAATCCTGTTTTCATGTACGCTAAAACTGTCTGTGGATGGCGCGTTTAAGATGTAGGTTGTATTCCCCAACGGAATCCACGACGGTTCTTTGGTATTGCGTGTGTACTTCCTCTGAAAGTGTATCCAAGTTTGAAGGACTCAGTTTAAAGAATTCAGCACCGAGTTGAGTTTTTAGTTAGACTAGCCCAAGTTATTTGGAAACTATTTGCGGGAATACGTATAAAAGGGGTTAAATTCCCTACAAGAGACACTTACTGAAAGAATTAAACTACCTTGCTTGTGTGGTCATTTTGTTCGGGGGGGTTCGTGGATATATGATATGAAACATAACGATGATCAGCGCGCGATTATGTCCAAAAATATTGGAAACGGGGGGGGGGGGGTTCGTGGATATATGATATGAAACATAACGATGATCAGCGCGCGATTATGTCCAAAAATATTGGAAACCAAACCACTTATTCCTCATGTGACTTTTTCAAGACCTTCAACCAAAGCATACGTGACAAGTAAAGGATATTTTGCTCTGTTCCTCCTGCAAACCCACTCACCGACTAATTTTAGAAGCGTTCTTTTATTACGATCTCTATGGGTTTTGACACAAAGACCGTTATTGGCGTGAATAATATAGTAAATTGATCCTAACCACAATATGCATATGACCCAGTGATAGATACGGATAGTTGGGTCGTAGTCAACCTTTCTGATAACTTACTACATCAACAGGTATTTTATTTGCTCCATCCCATAATATTAGACCACAGAAACTGAAAAAGCATCCAGATAATAAGAGCTAGACACCGATGGATGTAAAATGGCTGTAGTTTATTCTGTGCCTTACTTCGTCTTGGTTCTCATTCAGATTTGTGTAGATGTGCGTGGTATGGACGGGGAACAATCATTTGCTTGCCTCCCTATTTAGACTCTTGTGTGACATGTAGAACTTCACTCTCCCAAAGCCCATGATTATAATCTTTCAATCCAGCTAATTAAGATTCTGGGCTTTAATAGTTCAAAGTCGCTTGATAATTTTCCGCGCTGGCTTATCCTCAAACAAATGACAAATTAGTCTGTAGTTTGTTTCCTGAAATATACCGCTTACTTGGTAACTAACCTGGCTGACAGTGGCGGTCAGTGTGGCCGTTATGCTCTTCCTCGAGTTGTCCAGTTGAGTGTAGACCGGTTGTTTATCTTGGTAATTTGCTTACATCCGTTTCGTCAGTAGTCGTGGGAGCGATTTCACGAAATGTGGTAAGTAATTGGTACAGACTTGGGAACATAGGTTCTCTTGAGAAGGAAGAAAAAGCTTCCTCGTGGAACCCTGGCTATTTTGTCATCCGGTTTAATGAACTGTTTCCAGCTGTCATAAATATTCCTTATAGGCACACAGGGATTCGAGAGATTTGTACTTCTTTCAGAGGCAAGTTTGTTGCGTTACCGAACCGGCTGGTTTTCGAGGTCAGCTGTTTATTAATTCCACTTTCGATACCGCCTCAGAAACTTTCCGACAGCTATTACGAAATTCGCTCTTCTTGGTGCTCATCAGACGCAGTCCCTCCCCTAGTCCAGTCCCCTGAGCACGAGTCCGACCACCGACTGGTTTAAATTCGCTCTTCTTGGTGCTCATCAGGTAGACGCAGTCCCCTAGTCCAGTCCCCTGAGCACGAGTCCGACCACCGACTGGTTTCCATTTTTAGAACACATTCTAGTTTCAAGATGAGCACGAGCAATTGAATCAGTGGGAGGCAAAATGGCTCTCCTCCACCGTTCAGTAATTCTGGAGGACACTCAGCTGTTCTAACAGCGCGATGATGCATCAAGGCAGAGTAATATTCAAGATTTCAGGAACTGATGCTACGGAGTCAGGTGGCTTACTCAACTCTCATTGGAAATATTGCAATTTAGACGTTGGTTTCCAGCATATATCACGTTGTCAATGTTACCTTCGATTGACTCATTTACGAAAGGCCCAATAGGTCACATTTTGCGAATTAACTAAAACAGTCCCAGTACATCCCTAAGCATATTGAATTTTATGTATTAATCACTTAACACTTGGGACCCTGGATGGACTAGCACCCTCTAGTACGACTCAACGGTAGATTGTCGCGTCGCGATACGAAGCATTTTCTTTGCGACCGAAAACCACATCGATTTTGAGCAATTTAGATCTATAATGAGAAAAAGTAGAAAAGTGCCTCAGCTAAGCAGACAAGTACTGGCTTATCGCAAACATTCCAGGTGCCTGTGCCTTCAGTTACTTGTCCAGAAAGTTTTGTGTAAACTTAAAACATGAACAACAACAAAGTACACTTTTTTCGGTATACCTTACGGTTTTCTGCCAGCTCCGTGGACTCAATTTTGACAAATGGACCACTAGGTATAGCTATGCTTGTTCATGTGTTCGTTGGCGACAATTGTGCTTCGTGAATTACAGTAGATCTGCTGTCCAGTCAAGTCAATCCACAATTTTATTGTGTGCATTGTCAGTCCATTTTGCAGAGTGCGCTCAACCTTACACATCCTATTTGTAGGCATGAGATTATATAATCTCCCTGCTCCAGATGTAACGCAGAACTATGGAAGAATCTTTACGACACCTAGTAAATTGGTTCTGTGTGCATACTAGCAGATTCATCAGTAGCTCTGCTTAGAGTTGACGTATCTCGTTTCGTATCTTGTTTCCAAATCAAGGAATGTCGGAATTTCGTGCCACAAGCTCCTGTCAGATCAACTCCTTCAAGAGGAAAACCGATGTCAGTGTCCACGGGCAACAAACCATTCACTACACAGTTTCGAGATAGCTTGCGAGGATCTCCACGCCTACCGTCTCGCCCCGTCACTCGTGGAAGTTCCCTCATTAGAGGCACACGCTCTGGACGTGGAGGGGTTGGATATCAAACAGGTGGGTACACAAATTAAATTTGAATGCCACTGGGACGAATTTCGTCATGTTTTCGCTTATTATTACTGTGACTGTCTGTGAGTCAGTCGAAGCTTTTCAACAGTTGCAAACCGAGTCACTGGATTCATTAGCGTTTAAAGGCAATCACTGTACACTTTCATGTCTGCCTCATCTGTTCTGAGTCTATGACAGCCTTTTTTCTTTAGTCGCAACACTGCACGGAGTACTACTCAGCCCCTCACCTCTTGGTTAGTAGTTAGTCCGCTTGATCCACACTGTGCACAAGGACTCATGAAGTATCATGAGAAACACACTCAAACGATCTATGTGTACGATGAAACACTCTGCCAATCCATTTTTGTACTTAGTACATAACATTATGTCCCAAAGAGAACCATTTAACAAAGGTGGAGCAACAGACAAGGCACTATGTTCAGGAATCCATTAGGAGTTAGCCATTTCTCAATCCGAATAGCAGCCTACTTCGATATGGATGCGTGCATCAACCCAAAAACATAAACATTCAAATGCCAAAAGTTGTCTCCATGTGAAAAAGATCTGCAGTTGTCCCCAAGAATATCATCAAAGCTCACAAATGTCCAATCTACTTTCGTCTCTTCCAGTAGGCTCGACTGATAACAAAGTCTACTTGAGCCGACTCTCTTCTCCGGATCTTCCGATTGAAGATGAAGAACAAACGACAGTTCCAAGTGATTGGTCTATTAGCAGTAACGTGAGACGTATTCTCGGACAATCGGACTATCACTTCCCAGGGCCGGATCACGCCAATTTTGCGTCCCGTAATATACCCACAGACTGTTCCCACAGAGAGGTAAGTACAGGGCTTTTTGGAATCCGGCCTGATGTCTATGAGGCACTGTTCGCCGGCTTGTCACCAAGTTACTGATGTATCTTTACAAACGCAGTCAGTACCGCTAAAAGTTTCGTTTGTTAGTTCACGACATGGAAAAGAAAGGCGGGACAACATCAAACCGACAGTGCATGATTAGAAGGACAGCCTTTTTATTTGTTGCACATTCAAATATGGGGGAAAAATTTTCTCACGCAAAGGAAGCCCATTATTTTTTATATAAATGTCCCTATAATATTCCCCTTTCGAATCGAACTCTTCCACAATCGAACTTGTAAAATGACTTGAGGACGTGACTGCCCCAATTGATGTGCAGCTTTTTGGACTTTGTTTGTAAGAGTTAAACTTGCTTTGAGCGTCTAAGTGACTTTCATTTTCTATCCAGTTCCTGGGAAGTTTTCCAGTAAGATTTTATCAAGATATCTTAAGAGATATAAAACGGTGTTTCAGAACGATGAAGTGTGCGATTATTGATTGAGGAAACTACTCCGCATTCTATAAATTTCCGAAAAGTTTACAAGTTGCTGTTTGTGATTCTGACTACTCAAAACGATTGTCTTAGCGCATCAATTAATTCGGGAACAAAAAGCTTGGATACAACGTCTATAGGCTTTGGTTTGTCTAGTCTTACTCATGTAAAAAGTAGAATATGTTTCCTATTCAGCCGACTGTTCTTACAGTGACTCTGTTGCAAAAGTTATTCATTTAAATGATGACTGAGATTGACTTGCGCTCGAGTTCATGAGCTTTTCTAATCATCTGGAATCCGCAGTCTGGTTCACATTCCATAATAACAATAATTATTTACAAGCTAATTGATTGCGCTCCAAATTTCGATCAGAATCCTATAACAATCACAAGCCTTTGTTCGCCCCTTGAGCGAATGTGAACATCAAGTGGCCATATGCACATCAGGTCTGTCCTGCTTCTTTGGGATAACAGATCTGCTTCCTGAAATAGGGCGAACGAACTCCACATGAAGATATTAAATTCGTGGGACACCAAGTTTGGGGATCCATTTTGCCCTAGAAAACATCAAAATGGGTAGCAAGGCAAAGTGTTCTTCATTGATGTGAAATTGCCATAAAGCCACCATTTGTGGGGATCAGACAATACTGATCAACGAGCCCTTACCATGAACGATCTTCATTTCACACAAACCCGTAAGCAGTATTTAAGAGGTGCATTTGTTTGGAGGTTGACAGATAAACTAATCAGCTAGATCAGGTGGAGAACGGCATACTATACAGTTTGAGAAGTAATAAATATCCACCGGGAAGGGGCAAAAAACAGAATCACATAGAAACGAAACCAAACAGGAGAGTTTTCTCCAGTCGCTTCATCAGGTAGCACTAACTGTTAACGGTGAGTGATCTCCATGTAAACGGACGATAAATCTTAGGATTGGGCATATTGGATGCAGTGTGAACAACAAGGAGGAATAAGTGAGTTAGCATGATGTTTTGATCACTCCAGGTGGGCTCGAGGAGATTATGGTCTTAAAGTTGTTTTGATACAAAAGACATGGTGTGTGTACCGCGTCACAGTGCATGGTGAACAAAACACATCAACCATTGGTGATATTAGACTGCTGATTCATGTATCCACTTCGAGAAAAACAACTAAAAGTGGCCTCTTATGGAAAAGTTTTGAAAGTTAATAGAATTTTCAAGGTCCTTTTTTCCAGCAAATCGTCCTTATAAAAGACTCGCTTTTACTTCCGATATATGAGCTTGATTAAAGTCTTGCGTTCGTCTTGGGAAGCATACAATTGCACAGAAAGGATGGTTTTTTCATTTTTGCACTCAAAAGGAACCAGTTTACGTGAAAATGTCAAAAATCACGTCGGGGATTGTTTTTCAATGTTCTTAGCCAAGGACGCATCAACTAGTACGTCTGCTGGTGAATCGAGTAGCTTATGCGGTCACGAGGTGTTCTTTGCGGTCATTCGTTGGCTAGGCAAAGATATGCGCTGTCTGCCTCCATGAAGCTGGGTCGTGGAACCGACAGAAGTGAAAAAGTGCAGGCTGATCGACAGTTTAGTAGGTTAGATGTGTACACTATTAGTGACATTCTTATCTAAGATGCATAGGTTGGTCTCATCACACCTGATAAACCCCTGCCCACGATCTAATTCGTGTCAGCTGCATGTAAACCTGCTATGGTCCTTTGGTCCTCTGGGTCAGTCTATCCCGATGACTCTTGCTTTCCTCATGCTTGAGAGCTCCTGTCCATCGAAAAATTGGGTTTACCACAGAGCTGAATATTCAAATTGTTCACAAATCTCTTTAGCACTGTCTGACGGCTGAGATCCATAGTTCAAGCATATCGATGTTGTTTATCATGAAAAGCAATTCACCGACCATTTTGTCCTGACCGCGGCTTTTCGACATAATCTACTAGGATCAACGTCACTTCATTGTACTTGGAGACTGACCATACCCACCTATGTGGTTGCAGCCTAACTTCTGATTGAGGCGGTGTTAATGGGTGGCCTAACTAAGTTTCCTGGTTATAGTACTTCTCAACTGAATGTGACAAGTAATGTTACCTCATGCTCCAGCCGCAACGAACCATGAACAAGAGATTCCATCGCTTCTTTCACTACCATCCTTTTGAGTAGCAAATAAGTGTTCATCTGTACATACACAAAGTGCTTGATGAAGCTTTGCGGACTAAACCCAACTGATGAACCTCAAAAAGGACGAAACCGGCAGTGGGCTTCCAAGAGCTTTAGTCCGCTTCATAAGTAATTTCATACGGGGAAACCCTGATTCTAGTCCTCAAAATGTTACCGCTTGTGAGATCCTTGATAATCGTGAGAAATTAGGGAAAGTCAGCAATCCTATTCTTGAGATGATAATCACTTTGATGCATGACTAGTTCATGATGTTCGATGAAAACCAGGTCGTTCTCTTTTATCGATTATTTTAAGAAAGAGTTGCAGAACAGATGCAATCTCGGAGAATGGTGTGTGTGTGTGTGTGAGCCTGTATAATCTCATTCTATAATGTCCCATGCTTCGGTAGGAGTGTTCCAAAAATTTCTTAAACACCAAGACAAGAATATGTTTAGTTTGTAAACCGAAAATTGAAGGCACACGCGTTTGCACTAATGATGACGCGCGGTCTCTCGAAAGTTTAATGATCAGTATATGGGTAGATAATGATGTCTTCCTATAGCCAGACTAATCCACTTTGTCAGATTTTGAAGTCATCGGTACACAGTATTGCTGAGTATGCAAGTGGCATGAGAGAAGGCAGGAGGCAAGACTATACACAGGGAAGTCAAGGAAATATGTCAAAAGCATTCAGACGACTGGGAAGAATGTCTCCAATTCGTACTTTAGATATCAGATTGATGAGGAATGCTTATAACCAACGAAGTAAAGGACTATAAATTCCGGGTATTTCTTACAAGTTTATCAAAGTGCATTGTGGAAAATCACATTTGGAACATTCGAAAATATTCATATAGGACCGGTGATTGATCTAGAGTGCTGAAAACGTCAGAGTGGAAGAGTAAAATTGGTAGGTTAAACCATGTTGGTTTAGGAGGCTGCTTGAAATGAAGTTGTTATTAGCTACTTCCATCAGTTAACAGATATTTTGGTAACTGTAGCTGGCTAAGTCAGGAGGCATCACGCAAATGGGAGAGAACTCACTGCATTCAAAGATGGGTACTGTCATCATGGAGAGCACATTCTGCAACACCTGCTCACAAGAAATACTCCCATTGTCAAAAATCCTCTGTCACCGTATTACTTGCTTGCTGGTTTCCCATCACACAAAAAAAACGATTTGGCATACCTGTAGTGACAATAAATGCTGCTACCGTGTTGAGCCATAGCATAACACAAAAGTACAGATGCTTGATAAGAAAAAACGTCCCGGAACGCACATGAATTATTGCGCACAAGTGTTTTGCCCCCCAAAAAATCCCAAGGCGTACAAAACTACAAAAACTTACTTTTCATGTTGATACAACAGAATACCCTGCAACCGTTCCAGTTGGTAATGGTAAGAGTTGCAGATGTTGGTAGCATCCAGCCATCTATCCAACATCCATCGTGCGTTAGGGAGGAATTAGGCTTTCTTCAGCCCAGAAACGTTATCGTGGAACACCGGAGATCCGGGGGAGAATACTTTCTGTTCTATAGCACGCACATTCGTACAATGCGCAACAAAAACTTACTTTTCATGTTGATACAACAGAATACCCTGCAACCGTTCCAGTTGGTAATGGTAAGAGTTGCAGATGTTGGTAGCATCCAGCCATCTATCCAACATCCATCGTGCGTTAGGGAGGAATTAGGCTTTCTTCAGCCCAGAAACGTTATCGTGGAACACCGGAGATCCGGGGGAGAATACTTTCTGTTCTATAGCATGCACATTCGTACAATGCGCACCCATCCTCTGGACTTATCATCATTTTTTTACCGTCGCTTTTGATAATATGGTTTTTTCACTTAGTCCTCTGCCTTGTCGGAGTCTTTCCAAAACCAAAGTAACTGAAAGTATTAACTGCAGAGGCACCGTTTGTTACAAAACTGCACCTGATTTCTCTTATAGTTTTGTTCACCTACCAGACAGTGTCATTAAAAATTTTAAATTTGCGTAGTTTTAAGCACCGTAATTCATTTTGACGACGTTTCGCTATCTGGCACATCTTCTAAGGCGGGAACTCTCAATGAATTAAATTTTTATGGCAGATATTCTGGCGCTGAAACTATTTCCTGATGCATACCAAACTAAGGTGATAATCACTCGATTGGTAACCAATAAATCTGTTCTCTCTTTCTTTCGCCATGATATTCATTGTTCTTACCAAAATAGTTTTCTATTTAAAATCCTATTGCTGGTAATTGACTCTATTTGATTGCGATATGACTTGGGCATACGCATAACTGACCCTGACGTTGTTTTATGATTCCATAGTTTTGTCAGCCCCTAGTGAACTTGTTATCTCAACATTTTTTTCAGATGATTTGCTTGAATTTCTGATGTATCTTTGTGTAACTAAAACTGCAGTGTTTCGCTAACTCTTCAGGTTGTACGTTTATGCGTATCATTTGATGCACTAAAAGGTGACTGCCGAATAAAAACTTTAAAAACGTATTTTTTTCGAATACGATGGGGGTCAGTTCTTGGAAACTTTGGTATTAAAGTTCTCCTATTGCATGACACCGGTCTCACTATTGGAGTTTCCTACGTGGTAAGCTGTGTAAATATGGAGACATCTCCAGCTGCGAGGGATAGTTCATGAATCACAATCGAAAAAAAGACTGAATATTGGTGAGATGGCTAATTGGGAGTGAGATGGCTCAGTTGCTAGAACGCGAATTTACCAGATAGAATGTCCGTGGTTCGAACCCGACCTTTGCCTCTCGACTTTTCCAGTCTTGACTTGGTAAACTTGGAATAATCCCAGCATTCGTGCTCCCTTCTTGTGGCATGTAAGTTAGGCACCGAAAGGGTGCTGCAGCTAAACGATTTGTATTTATTTTTTGGCAATGTCACACCTCTTTGGTGTAAAAGTGACAATTTGAACTACGGCTTATGGTGTGCCCATGAAAACACTTTTGGATCCCAGACCAAAACAAGATGCCTTACGTGACACGTAACTCCTGTTCATTCTACCGCATATCATTCGTAGTAGCTATATTTCACCTCCTTTTTCTGCTCCTGACAGGTTTCTCAGGACACTGAATCCAACACAACTATTCGAGCGACTAAGCCCAATAACGATGCCAAAAAGGAGACCTCCGGAAGTACAAGTTCAATTGATTGGGAAGAAATCGAGCAAGTGATACAGCGACATTAAACTGCTCCGCAGACTGAGTTTTTCCAGTGATTTCGTGGTTAGCGGCACCTTTCCGCGGTACTGTTCCGTTAGTGTTACTCAGCCCACACCGTTACCCCTCCGAATAGTCAACTGGGCTCGTGCTGCACATTACGGCTTGTGTTGCAACTGTTGCTGTTACGCGTTTGTTGCATGTTGCCTTGTGAAAATTTGTAAAATTTCTCCCTGGGTTGGCTGTTGCCACATTGTTGTTTTTAGAGCAACCTGAATGGTGGAATTATCTATGCATGTCCAGAAGCGCAAAATGACAAAATCTCTGGCATTTTTCTGTAGGGGGAGCAAGCTTGATACTTCTTGTAAGTTATGGTAATCGTATCATGTTCTGTGTCTGCCCATTACCTTGTATGGACCCTGGCTACTTCTCCTCCTGATCGTTGTTTCGTGTTTCGCAAGTTATCTTGCGACAGCCTGTGACGGGGCGAATTGGAATCGCCACAATTTTGTTCATGGGGCACATCCACGATGTGCCAATGGAATCGTCGGATGGATGGGGAGGGCGCCGTCTTACTGTTCACCATTTTCAATAACTGGCGAGCGTATTCTCCTAATGATACATTCACACAATCAAATTAACGCTGGTGTGCATCCGGTTACTTTCCCCTTAAGGCTGTTACGCTACTCACATCGGCGTGCATTTGACCGGTGAAAATCCGAGAGACGGTTGTCTCTGAAGCTCTGCAAACGTTTATCCGTTGAAAGTGGTTTTGATTACATAAGCAGCCTCCGAGGTGTTTTGATGTCATATAAGTTGGATTCTGACGTTAAAACTCCTTTACTTTGCAAAGACACAACCTAGTGCTTAGAGTTTGGCTCGCGTGATGAACCGCCTGCTAACCAATTAGTCAGTTTTCTTCAAGATTTCTGTTCACAGTCAATTAAACCAGTAGCTTATCTTCAGAGAACCGTCATGGTATACTTTCTACCACGTCCTATTAATTAGTTCCCTGAGGGGAGCGTCTGTGTATGGACGTATAAAGCCCTGCTCGGACATAGAACTATAGACCAAAGGACGAAGGTCACATGTGCATCGTTGCCCGTTACTCGAGGGTTTTGTGGAGAGGAACTAAGGCGAAGCAACCACCAGTTTTGGACTCCATGGGAGAGACTGCCATCGTCATGTGCGTTTTTATCAGTTTTTGGTTCCATCAAAGCTGTGGCAAACCCGGAGTGTTTCTGCCACCTCTGTTTTGTTCAAAACAGAGTCAAGTGGTTTTTTAGGAGTCCGACTTCAACAAGCCGTTCTGGGCTTGGGATAGTATGGTATATGTGTTGAGGATGTAAAAACCAACGTTCGTTTTAACTCCGTTGAATCGCATGGAATGGTTCAGCCTCCCTATCAGTTTCAGTTTTTTGCTAGAAGCATGACACAATCTCGCCCTCCGAACCTTCCAACCATGTTCCGAGTTCTTTTTGAATGCCGGTGTAAGTTAAAGTGTGCACATGGTTAGAGAGCAGTTACTGTACAGGTGACACAACAACAAATATGCGTCAACCAGACGAATTCACCATGGTCTCTGAGTAGACTCGTTAGTTAAACCAATGTTTGCTTCAGCTCCCGGAAGCATTTTCCTCAGTCTCTGTGGCATGCCTCCATGGCATGCCTCTTTCGCCGCAACCTTTACACATGCGACTTTAATGCAGGTGGCGGTACGGAAAAGACGTTCTTTCCAAGATCCTTGGAGATAGCCTGTGTTTTTGGAGTTCCTCTAGACTGCGGAGACCGTCACTCCTGTTTGATGGTGAGTTTCTGTGGCGTGAACTCCAGATACTCTGCATTTTAGTTATGCTGCTATGTCCGAATGTAGACATCCCATGTCACTGAATGCTAAACCCGAAAGCTCAGAGACATTTAGCTCACCTCGGTTGCCGTGTTAGGCCTAGGGCACCTACATTTTTCACCAACAACATTGGGAAAGATGCTTGCCCAATCATCTTGAAACGGTAGCTTCGAAGGGAACCATCTCATTCAACATCTGCTCCAAAATCCAAATAGTATCCACAAAGCGAAAGTAAAAAAAGATTTCAACGTATAAAATATTAGCCACTTATATCCAGCTCGCCACACTTTTAGCGTCGACAGTCGTGTTTCTCATAAATTTCCCGGACGCTTAAGCATCCAACATAAGTCTCTCCTTAAAGGACCGCAGAGCATCACCAGTAGTAGAAACTAGTGCGATACGGGTCAACGGCTCAGGTTATGCCATCTCAATCTGTGGTGCAATGGACAATGATCTTTATGTTGATGTCTGCTCAAGGTTATTGCTGGACTCTGTGACGACAAGGTTGTTATTAAATGTGACAGGTGCTTTGCCCTCAAAAGGCCGATTCGCGTGAGGAAATAATCCTTTAGTAATCGCACAGTATTGTCAGCCACTGATCTTACCGAGCTTACGTGTGGTTTGCGTAACATTATTGCGAACCCATTGCCAGTGAGTGGGATACATAGTCTGATGCACTTGTGAGCACCTTTAGCTTACCAACGAAACCGCTAACTCTCAGAGACGTTCCATTCTGTGTATCTTCACTATGTAGTAGTCCTCTGGGCTTCTTTTCCCATGGTTATCACCAGACAAGTGTATGCTACAATCCCTTTGCAAAAGTGAACTTGGTTGAGACGTCCTGTTAAACGATGCCGATCGCATTCCCTGGTGGATATCGTGACCTAACGTCAGTAGCCGCCATAACTTGCGGTTGCCCAGTTGCATAGAGCCTTAGCAGGGTAATAGTATTCCACATGCCCAACTTCATTTATTATACGGCGCTTTTGGGATTTCATGCAGCGTGGCAGTATGTATTTGTTTCACGGTGAACGCTGAAGTTCCGACTTTTCACTTGTTCTCTCTAGGGTGTGTGTGGCACTCCGTACCTCTGTTTCAGTACCAACGTTGGGGTTGAAAGCTACGTGTTTGGACTCGGGGTAGCGGATCTAATTGAAGCGAGTAAAAAGGGCTACTTCTAGCTTGTTTTCGAAAAACTGCATAAATGTTCTCTACTACGTACAAAGCATGTCTTCTAGACTTTATGTCCCTGTTGCAAACTCACAAACAACTATTCGTGATGTATGATATAAGGTTTATACAACCTCAGTCCGTTGCGTGCATGGTTAGCTACAGCAAACTTTTTTTTACCGAAACTGGAGAGAAATTAGCCTCCATGGCCTCGGTTGACGCAGACTAAAGGGGTCCAGCTGAGGAGCTTTGTAGTACCTGCTGACCGACTCCAGCGAAATGATTGCAGGTGCCCACTAATTGTTCGGTGTTCTCATGTACTGAGGCTACAGAAGATTGCATCTTGATCCCTACATTATAACCACTACTTACTGAACAATGTGGGCGGGGTGAGTTAAGAGTGATAAAGACCGTGGAATTCAGTCACTTTTTCGCACAGAAGCTACATGCGATTAACACATCTGTACTAGATGTGAAGCGCTTAAGTGATTGAATTCATAATAGCAGCTTGGGAAAGCTGGCACTTAATTTGAACAATGGGATATTGTGCATAGGTGGCAGACTTAGTTACCCAAACTTCAGTTGAGCAGCAAAACACTCAGCGCTTCTTCCCAGCTACATATTTGTTAGAACCTTGGTCGATGGATTTGAACGGCACGGCGGGGTATCTCAAGCCTCAGCCTTAATCCGACAGTGGTATCGGAATATAAGAGAACCGACAACGTTAAACGAGTAGCCGGTCCGTGCACTCGATGCAGGCGCAGGCTTGTCACATAAAAAAATAGCCCATGTGGGTAGTAGATAGTTGTGAGGCAAGTTCCTGTGGCTTAATAAGAAAACTATCTGAGAATGGCGCCATCAACAGAGATACTGGAATGGTGTTTACCGGGTAGACGTGATTGAGCTTTTACTTCCTCGAAGACAAAACTTGTGGCAGTAGCGAACTCAAACCATGTGCATCAGTGGTTGATGGGTTTCCCTGGAGAGGAGCTAAGCTTTAAGTGGAGAAAAAAATTCGGGGCGTCCGCTGAGTCAACATGGAGAATCTGTAACGGACTTGGGACCTTATTAGCGTGTTGGATCCAATAAACGAGCAAAGTAACAAAATGACAATAAGAAAAAATAAGCAATCGATAACGACTCGCGACTGCGTAGATCCAATAGTCCGCCACACCGATTCCAATGCATTAACCGGCTGTGAAGGAAATATTCACTTTTAGAGATTTTCCACTGATGATTCATGTGTGAGTGGTATGTTCCACGATTGGATAGTTTATCGCAGCAAACATATGTCACAGGAAGTTAATGTGACGTTCAACGATTGAGACCTAGCCCCACTGGTTCGGCAGTCAGCAACCAGTTCAACGGAGCGTAAATCTACTGATTCAGCAAGAAGTCAGCAAGTCGCGCCGAAAACTTGTGTCTTGGTACCATTTTTCTCTTGATGTATTTATTGCTACAATAAAACAAATGTCTTGATAAAATATATACAACAGTTACAAAATGTAGTATAAGTTCCGGAAACAATAGTAAATGAATGTGACAACGGATTACAAACACTACAAATCTGACGGACGGCGCTTCGTCTTTGAAATTTTCCGCGTCTCTTCTATTCGTAACCCCCGATTCAGTGTTGCTTTTGCATGTATACACGAATTGTTCGTTCCTGCTACTTCAGTCATTCGACCTTGAGGTCATCTTGTCATTTTTGCACGCGTGACATTCTCATATGTGAGCCTGTTTTGTTAATTTGGTTTGCACTTTCACGGTCCTCGTAGACCATTTGTTGTGGATGAGTAACTACGGCAGAGATTGTAATTTTTGTGACTTTATGTTTTACATTATTAGTACCATATAGAAACCCAGCTCCTACATTTTTTCGCTTGTTCGAAGGTTCTTGTATTGCGCATCGCTCGGCGATGTCGTTTGGCTACAATACGCTGAACTACTGGAAAACGCAAATAAAATTGGACTTTTAGCGCTGTCAATCTATGCAGTTGGTGTCTTGCATGTCACACACAGTCCAAGATGGCAGTCTTTATGTGCTTAAGCGGAATTCCGCCAGATGCGCTTTCAAATAGGACCAGATGACGGCATTTCATACGCTGGTCAATCCCAGAGGCAATCAAGTCACATATGAATTGACGTTTTTGTCAAGATTTGCTGGATTGCATGTTGAATCAGGTGTTTAGAGAAATAAAATCTACATAGAATATATAGAT